GAGTGTCCAAGACATGTGGCCGCAGATCAGATGAGACGATGACAAAGTCGATCATCGAACTGCGGCCTAGGGTGTCCTGGTGCCAAGAGCACATATGGACACCCTTATGCTTGAACAAGGTGTTCGTTATTGACAATCCATGACGAGCACAGAAGTCCAACAACAGAACACCACTCTGGTTCAGATCAGGGGGGCCGTTCCTCCCAACCACACCCCTCCAGGTCTCACTGTCATTGCCCACATGAGCATTGAAGTCCCGCAGCAGAACAAGGGAGTCCCCAGAAGGTGCACTTTCCAGTACCCCCTCCAAGGACTCCAGAAAGGGTGGATAATCCGAACTGCCGTTTGGTGCATAAGCACAAACGACAGTCAGAACCTGTCCCCCCACACGTAGGCGGAGGGAGGCCACCCTCTCATTCACCGGGGTGAACCCCAACACACAGGCACCAAGTTGGGGGGCAATAAGTACGCCCACGCCTGCTCGGCGCCTCTCACCAGGGGCAACTCCAGAGTGGAAGAGTGTCCAGCCCCTCTCAAGGAAACTGGTTCCAGAGCCCGAGCCATGCATAGAGGTGAGTCCGACTATTTCTAGCCAGAACCTCTCAGCCTCACACACCAGCTCAGGCTCCTTCCCCACCAGTGAGGTGACATTCCACGTCCCAATAGCCAGCTTCTGTAGCTGAGGATCAGACCGCCAGGGTCCCCGCCCTCGGCCACCACCCATCCCACATTGCACCCGACCCCTTTGGCCCCTCCCACAGGTGGTGAGCCCATGGGAAGGGGGACCCACGTCTCCTCTTCGGGCTGTGCCCGGCCGAGCTCCATGGGTAAAAGCCTGGCCACCAGGCGCTCGCCCGCGTGCCCCACCTCCAGGCCTGGCTCCAGAGTGGGGCCCCGGTGACCCACGTCCGGGCAAGGGAACATTAGGTCCGTTTATTTTTCTCATCAAAGGGGTTTTTGGGCTGCACTTTGTCTGGTCCCTCACCTAGGACCTGTCTGCCATGGGTGACCCTACTAGGGGCATAAAGCCCCTGACAGCATAGCTCGTAGGATCATTGGGACACTCAAACCCCTCCACCACGGTAAGGTGGCAGCCCAGGGAGGGGCATAAAAAACATATGATTTGAAAATTATATATATTAAAAACATGAACAGCTACATTATAAAGTGATGTAAAATACTAAAAACAGGAACATGTCTGTTGGTTCATGCCATGAACTTAGCAGATGTTTGAAGCCATTTAACACTTTATTAATTTAATTTAATTAATTTATTCATTCATTTAAAAGAAACAAAATAAAAAAAACATAAAAAAGAAAACAATGAATGAAAGAAAGAAGAAAAAAATTCTTATATCTGCCCCTTATTTAAAAAAAAATATAAAATAACTTTAAACAATCACTTAAGTTAATCACTTTAATATCCACTTTAAAACTAGGAATAAAAAGAAACATGTTTTGTGTTAGCAGAATTTTATTCTAACTTTAAAACTTATCCAACATTAATAAAACTTACCTCAAGTTGCCTTTTTGGACATGCATGCTTATATTTGTACAAATTGTACTTGAGAGGAGATTATTGCAGCTTCATATAAAATCAATGATGATCATGATATCAGAACTGGATCGGTCTCGGCCGATATTCAGAGTTAAGTATCGGGATCGGATCGGAAGTAAAAAAGTGGATCGGTATATCCCTATTTAAAAGCCTTGTAGACTCTAAGAATTCTAAGGCATTGTGACAAATACATCTCGCACCAGGTGTAGCGACACCTCCATTAACCACTGATCAACAGTATCCCTGATCTGAAGGTGTATATGTCAACATGTGTGCTTCTTACTGTATGTTTTATAATAAGGCCCAAGCAAATATGTCTTTTAACTTACAACTGTGTTCAACAGAACTTGTTTTAACAGATTCTGAGATGTGCTTGAAGCTGACCTGTACTTGTTTATCTAAAAGTACCAGGAATTTCTGGGCATAAGACCAACTGCTTGTATAAGACTGTTTCCCAGCAGAACTGTTTTAACAACTAGAGTGTTTATGTCAAGCTGACCCAAGAAGAATCCCTAAAATGGGAAAGGACTTATAAAGTGTTATACAACCTTCTGACTTCTGACGTCAATGAAAGAAATAAATAAGAACAGAACTATGTTGAGACAAGGGTTCTGTCTTTTGAGGTCTCGAGATATTCTGGCTGTTCCACCTTAGAGGTAAAGCTTCAAATAAAACCCCCATTTTGCTGTCAAACAGAACCAAGGTGTCTACTGTTTTATTTAATGAACCCAAAAGTATTTAATGTAGTAAGCCACTACAACCTCTACTAATTAAATGCTGTCAAATGCTAGCCCATGGGAAGTTTATAAGACATCAGTCCACGCATCAGATTGCTCTGGTTTATTGACACAAATCATTAACTATCTCAGTACAGATACAACACATGTCCAGCAAAGCGCAAAAAGAGTAAAAAGCTTTTGTCCTAGGCAAGGATATACATTTAAACATTATCTATCACTAGCGGGGGGCTTGGGGTACATGACATGAAACAGGATTATCCTTTGAAAAGAAGACCTCTCCCCACTTCAGGTGCATAATGTAAGTCTAAAAACACAGGTTTCTATTTTGGGATACATTACTTCATACATTCTGCTTTGTTTTTTTTTTTGTTTCATGAAAAAGACGTGAGCTGGATCACTTCTGTCAACACAAAGCAAATAAACAAGTACAGTCCTAACTGTAGACAACCAGTGCTAGCAGTTACAGTGACGCAACACATAAAACAAACGAAACGATTGCAAATAAAAAGGGTAATTAAACATACACTAAATTATATGAGGCAGAAAATGAAAACAAATATAACTTCCCAGTCTCAAACCCTTAAAGCGTTATCCATTGTTCCCCCACCACATGACCTTTCTGCGATTTTATTGTAACAAACACAAAAGACATTCAGAATAGAAAAAGAAACATGCAAAGAAAGCAGTTTTCACACAGTCACTAATACAGAAAAATCAGATCGAAAGCAGTGCTGCCAACAGTCAGTGCCTTCAGGTCTTTAGATGTTATTACTGTTGTTTCTCTACAGACTTTAGATTTGCTACTGGATTTGATAAAAACAATATGAAAGACCATCTCCATTTGGCTACTATGTCTTCTGACTAGAGTGACCTCCACGTTTGTCCATGAGACCTGGGGGTCCTACAGTTTATTGAGAACAGTCTTTGTTTCAGGACCCCCAATGACCACAGGAAAGTTCATTTGGGAGGATTTCTACAGAAAACTAGAGCCACGGGAATGAGCTTGGGTTCCCATTTGTAAAAAAGGCATGATGTTTTCTTTTTTGGCATCTGTTCCTATTCTTTTACATCTGATATATTTTACTTTTACAATCATTTTCTATATGACCAACGAAGGTAGTTTCATTCCAAAATTAAATACTTTGAATATAAAGGTAACTATCGTAATAAAGTCTTCTAAGTATATCTATTAAATTCATAAGTCATATTGAGACTTTTATTTACAAATCTGTTAGTTTTTCTTACAATCATCTAATATTCTTTGATTTTAACTAATATCACATTGTTTTTTTTTCTGTAATGAATAAATTACATATTAGAAAGAAACCCCCCAGTTGTAGATTTTTTATCCATATGCACATTCAGTTCATGATGCAGTCTCTATTAATTTGACATTATTAAATTGATAATTTTAATAGAAGGTTCTTTGTTTTGCAGATAAACTGGGGATATGGTACATTTTATGCAGACAAAACTCATGTATTCATTCAATCTATGTTGGTTACAGTTCCTGTGAGCGAATGACGTGGAACAGCGTCACGTTATACAGAACCTGGTGTCCATTGTTCCAAGCATACAGGGCACGGTCCCGTGGGTTGTAGTCTAGCATGGAGATATGCGAGTACTTATTTTGGAAGGCAATGTCAATGTACTCGTACGTAGACGAGTTGGTAGAGTAGGCGTAGTAGACTTTGGTGCCACCTGAGTAGCCATTGGTGACGTAAAGCGTGCCACAGATCATGAAAGACTCACCAGCACTTCTTTTAGGGTGGTTGGTGGTCCAGCTCTTGATGATCTGCAGAGTGTTGGGGTTCAGCTTACTGATGACAATATTACCAGCATTCTGGTTTGTGGCATAGACAGCCCATAGGCCTCCTTCATCCACCATTAGATCAATGTCAGAATGGCCTCCCCAGGCATAGTGATATGCATTACTGAAGCCAGCATTGTCAATCTGTCGGGATTTGCTGATGGAGGAGGTGCGGAAATCAAACTTGATGATAACGTGGCTCTGAAATTTGTTGAAGTAGATGGAGCCATTATAGACCACCTGACCTGTTCCTGACCATGGGTGGGGCAGCCGATGGGATGTGAAGTTATCTGACGTCATGAAGTCATGCATAGACTTGTACTCCCGGACAAAGCGATTGTTGTGGTAACCATCCATATACCAGACCTAATGATCAAGAAAAAACAAAAACTTAAATTTAATTAAAGGGTAATTAAAGTATTAAACTACTTCAAATCTCAAAATCTCATTACTGGTCAGTGAAGCGTTGTGAGTGTCAAAGCCTTGAATGCAAAATACAAATAAAAAAATCAGACCACATTACCAACAAGCATCCCAATTAATGATGCTATTTTTCAGTGAGCTGACAAAATAAAATCTGTCAGTTTCTGAATACAAAAGGCCTAGATGACAGCTGCAAGGCATGAGGAGTCAGGGAGAGCTGGTATATAAAACAGGTCTTTATTGTACAGTAAATGAGTCCTCAAGGTTCAATGAGACTAACCTGTATAAATAAAGGTTGAAAAAAATATATATTTTTTTCATTCAAAAAGGGGGGAGTGCTGGCGCAGAGGTTAGAGAGATGTGCCTGCGATCGGAAGATCGACGGTTCACGCCCCGGTACTGACAACATCAAAAATGTGGGTGGGGTAGGTGAAGCACCCACATTTGCCCCACCCTCATTCGCCCCACTTTGGGCCCATGAGCAAGGCCCTTAACCCACCATCTGCTCCCTAAACAGGTCTCTCTTGAAAATATGTTCTCGTGGCTCAATGAGACTACCTGTATAAATAAAGGGTAAATGAAAAAAATATATTTCACATTTGTTCTGTTCATAATGTATTAGTTTAAATTTTAAGAGTTTGACTTTTTGCATGCAACACGTAGACTTTAAATTTTAATTTATATCAGTAAGCCACAACTTACGAGACCAGTAGTTTGCCCACACTGCCACTTCTGTTATCCATTTGATCTGATATTGTAATAATTTAAAAATATTTTCACATGACCTTTCAACACTTGCAGCATTCCACATTTTCTGTATGATTATTGTTATTGTGTTTTTGAACGTTCACATTTTTTTAAAACCAGGATATGTAATTTAAATGCTACATTAGGATGGTTATCAGGATTGATTTTATCTATCTCTGCAATATTACTCAAATTAGAAACTTCATGTCCTAAACTGAGGTGGAAAAAAATGGTCTATGCATGTATCACTTCTAGACTAAATTATTGGCACTTTTTATAATCTGGGTATCCAAAAACTAATTAAAAAGTCTTCAGTTGATCAAAAAAGCTTCAGCTAGAGTTCTGATGAGGGTTACAAAGAGAAATTGTATTTATACAATTTTATCTTTTGTCCATTGATCTTCTGTAAATTTCAGAATACAATTTAAAATCATGTTTATAACATAAATGTATCAACAGCAAATTTCCTATTTACTGTATATCAAAGATTTTACAGCTCATATTTTCCTAACAGAGTGCTTCATTCTCAGACCATATGTTTACTAGTGGTTCCCAGAGTTGTAGAATGGGAGCCAAAGTGTTCAGTTATCATGCCCCGCTCTTGTGAAAACAGCTTTTATTTCTGTCCATGATTCTGACACACTGTTTGCGTTTAAGACAAAGCCAAACATGTTTCTTCTTGATGAATCTAATTGTTGGAGTTGACTTGGGTTTCTAGAGCTATGCTTTAGTTACGGTATGCTGCTATAGACTTAGACTGCTGGAGAACAAAATGACCACTGTCCTTCACTGTCATCTTTTTTCCTCTCTGTTCTTAATGTTTGTATTTGTAATTAATACTATCAATAAAGTGTTTTTCATTTTCATTCTTCCCATACAAACCACAACTAGACCAATCATGCTATGTTTGTTTGTGTTTCTTTCCTGTCTACTTCATCCCCATCTTTTCAAGGCAGATGGCTGCCCATCCTGAGTCTGATTCTGCTGGAGGTTTCTTCTTGTTAAAAGTGAGTTTTTCATTTCCACTGTTGCCAGTGTACTTGCTCAGGATAGAAGATTGTGATGAAATGAAGAGATAGATAGATATATAGATAGATAGATAGATAGATAGATAGATAGATAGATAGATAGATAGATAGATAGATAGATAGATAGATAGATAGATAGATAGATAGATAGAT